AAAAAAAAAAGTATATATTTGTTTAATGAGGTATAAAATAGCATGACACTGTTGGGAAATTATTAGAAAGCTGACATTTTTGGGGCAGGGCCACATTATTTTAGTGTACACACACACACACACACACACACACACACACACACTAACACACACACTAACACACACACTTCACAAACTTCTTTGCATCAATGTTTTCCGACTGAGCCTGTGGTATTGAGGCTAACCAGACCAGGTCTAATTGGGAAGCAGAATGAGATGAAGGCAAAAAAATTTTCCTTGCACTTGTAAATTGTGACTGGGATTAGATGGTACTATTAAGTTCAGAGAAATGGAAACTACTGCTCAAGTTCTTTCAATCATAAAAATCAAATATGATATTCACTTCCAGTTTTTTTTCCTTTGAATGTGTTGTCCATAAAACATTTTAAAGGCTAGAACTTAATTTTGACTGTAGTTGGGAAAATTGGAAAAAATAGTAGTTGTAGCTAATCAGGCACGACTTTAGTAGGATGCATTTGCACACAGACAATTGTCAGGTCTAGAAGCCAGTCATTTTGGAACAAGATTTTGGAAAAATGTCAGTTTCAATAGTCAGGTTGTTTGCCCAGGCTGCCATATTCTTGTTCTTCCTTTTCTCATCTGCTCCTCCTTCTTTTATTTATTATTTTTGAGTTTACAACATCCAGTAACTTAAACTACAGGAAAAAGACACAAAACTCATTTTTTTTCCAGTTAAAAGAAACCCTTTCCATTTACTCGTGTTTTGAACTACAGTAGCCTAAAAAAAGTGGCGATTTCATTAGAAAAAAAAAAAATCGTTAAGAAGGAGAGTCTACTAGAATGTCACGTTGTCACTCTGTGCTCCTGCAGTTAAAAACCATGTCATTATTTCCATTCTGCCCACCTCCTCATTGCGAGGGCTTATTAGCTGGGTTGTAAAAACTTGCTCCCGTTGAAGTCTGGCAAGCTGACAAGGCTGGGTGCCAGAAGTAATTTACTATCCCATGCAGTTTGTAGAGCAAAAGGAGCTATAAATAATAGAAAAAGAAATGAAAAGTTACTGGTTCCAAAGATTTTAGTGCATGTAACGCACGTCACCCCAAACTCGGATGCCTTTGCCTGTCTACAGTGCTAGAGTGCATGGAAGGTTTGGAGAATGCAGATGCTCCACGCTCCACTCAAGCCCAGGGCTCTGAAGTCCTCCGGCATCAAAGACCCATCTGTGTCTGTCCCTTCTGCCTGACTTTGAAGTCTCAGGGCCCTCTGTGTGGGAGAGACAGACAGGGGGACTTTGAACGACGTAGGGGGATGGGATTCCAGGTGCTTTGCCTCTCATTGTGTTTGGAATTAGGTATTTTCCTTTATCAAATAATAATGGGGTGGGGGCAGCATTTCTTTCTCCGCTATTTTGAGCCCCTGAGCTCTCTATGAACTCTGCCTTCAGATATACAATGTGATCACTCCAAGGAAAAGTTCAAGTTTGCTTTAAAATTTGCATTCAAGTGCATTAAAGGCAAGAATAGACATTTTAGCTTCTGGTTAGTGTTCCTCTGGTAGGCTCCTTAGAAGATTGTCTCAGGACCTTAGCTGAGGGCTGTCTGCTGTTTTCCAGACTGGCTCATCAGCACCAAAATGGAGACCAATTGTTCCTTGAAGGCCATGGGTGATCAGAATACATCTTTCTGGCTGATATCACTGTTTCTTGGTAATCGGGGTGGGGGTGTAGATCGTGAAAATTTCGACTAAAATAACCATTGGACTTGGGTAAAGTGTTTGCCATGCAAACATGAGGACCTGCCTGAGTTTGAATCCCCAGAAACCAGAGTCCCCAGAAGTCATCCAAAGCACCCAGTTCTACAGAAGTGGGGACAGGAGAAGCCCTGAAAACTCAGGAGCCCCTGAACTCCTGGTTCAGGCGTCAATAAAAAGAGTTCCTGTCTTGAGAAGGTGGAAGGCAGGGACTAACATCTGAAGCTGTCCTGTGGCTCCACATACTCATACACATAAGCACACATCAGACACACAAAAGATTAAAGCCGGCAAAACAACCGCTTAAAAAGCCAAGCACACGGGGCTGGAGAGACGGCTCAGTGGTTAAGAGAACTTTCTGCTCTTGAAGAGGATTTGCCACACGGCAACTCATCTGTAACTCTAGTTCTAGAGTTCACCTTCTTCCGACTTCCTTGGGCAGCAGACACATAAGTGGTGCACATGTACAGATATATGTAAAAATTCATATACATAAAATAAAACGCATTAAAAAAAAAGCCAAGGCAGGCATCTCCATGACGGGTAAGGTGACCTGCTGACGTCCCACACAATCTAAGTCAGAAGCTCATTTTTTAGTAAAAGGGCCCTGACCCCCATTTTGGGTAACTGTTGCCTTGCTTGCTGACCTTGACCTTGATGTCCTCCCTATGCTAATTCCCTACCGGTTTCCACCCTCCTGAATGCTTAAGGGAAGTCCTTGGCTGTGTACCTTGAATAATGGGCGTTAACAGCTTAGATGCAAGATTGTAAAACATTGGTAGGAAACTTCTGCCCTCTGGGGTTCTCCCATTGTGCTGTAAGCCTGTATTCAAGACCTCCTCCATCCTTCAATAAACGGCATTTGGGAAAAAAAAAAAAAAAGAAAAAAGCCAGGTTCAGTGGCACAGGCCCAGCACTTGGGAGATAGAGGCAGGAGGATTAGGAATTCAAGGTCATTTTGGCTGTAATAGCAAGTTTGAGGCCAGACTGAGCTACATGAAATAGAATGCAAAATTCATGTAAATGTTTTACATGCTTTAGAGAAGAAGGTTGATAATTTTTTTCTTTTCTTTTTTTGGAGGAGGGGTGTTCTGGGGATTGAACTCAGGACCTTCTGCACTCTAACTCTATCCCACTGAACTAATGTTCCAGCCCTTAGCAGGTGCTTTCAGTCCTTTTAGGTTGATATTCAAAATAATGATAATAATAATAATAATAATAATAGAGTTGTGTGTGATGGCACATGCTTTTAATCCAAGCACTGGGGAGGCAGAGGCAGATAAACCTCTGAGTTTGAGGTCAGCTTGGTCTACAGAGAGTTCCAGGACAGCTAGGGCTGATCCTGTTTCAAAACCAAAAACCAAAACCAAACCAAACCAAAACAAAACAAAAAAACAAACCCCAAACAAATAAGAGGCCACCTGTCTCTGCCTCCCATGTACTGGGATTAAAGGTGTATGCCACCAGGGTTGGCCAAATAAATAAAAAAAATATTTATGTGATATGATTAGGAGGACCAACATAAAGGTTTAAAGCAGTGCACATAGCACTCTGGGCACATAGTGAGACAGCTCTTATTATGAGATGCAGAAGCGAAAAGAAGATTTTTGCCATTTTTATTATAATGATTCTTAGGGACAAGATAATTAGAATAGCTAAATTTCAAAACGAGAAAGAGCATAGTTGATTTAAGAACTGTCGTTAGCTCGTTAAGGTCTTTGTCAAATTTGCCTCAAAAGGAAGGATTACAATCTGCGAGAGCTCGTTGGCTTCCCTGTACTTAAAGTTTGTAAATGCCTTGCACATTTATTTGCTGATCTGTTAATTACAAGGGAGGCATTTCTCTAGTCTTCAGTGTTGGGGGACTCCCTGTCCATACTGAACTTGCTATTCTCGGTCATTCTGGCTATTGACCAGTCCTACTTTACTATCACAAAGAAATCGCATCTTTGATTTACACATGTGAATTCCTACCATTCTCAGATCTTAGCCCTGAAAGGGTTGAGGAATGTTGAAGCCCACATCAACCTCTGTGTCTGTTCTGAGGCCAGTGGGGCAAGATGTGAAACGCAAAGAAAAGGAAGGCAGAGGACTGGGTGGAACTGGGTAATTGCTAAGTCTATTCCCTTCATAAATCACATAGGGGATCAAGGCAATGATGTGAGTGTTGTAATAACAGGTCTAACAAGAATCCCTGCTTTGGCTTTTTATCTTCTCCCAGGACTTAAAGAGAACTGAACCACGGAGGTTTTTTTTTTTAAGGTGTAGTAATTATACCAGCAATATTGCTTCCCATGTGAGTTACAGGATGGTTCTCTTAGAAATGTTAATTTGCTTGGGCAATGCTGTAAGGAAGATCTAAGTAAATACTGATTTATTTCACTGACTTTCAAACTTTTCACTATCAAAATCCTGTTTTCTAAAACAAATGAGACTCTGATATCTACCCGAACCCAGTATTTTGAAATATTTTATCTATGTAAATCAGGATATTTATTTTTAATTTAAAATCGTGTGTGTATGTGTGTGTGTGTGTGTATGTGTGTGTATATGTGTGTGTATATGTTGTGTATATGTGTGTGTGTATGTGTGTGTGTGTGATGTGTGTGTATGTGTGTATGTGTGTGTGTGTGTGTGTGTGTGTGTGTGTGTGTGTGTGGTGTGCCATAGGGCGAATGTGGAGATCAGATGACAACTTGCAGGAATCTGTCCTCGACTTCCACTGAACTCAGGTGGTCAGGCTTGGTGGCATGATGGCCCTAACTATTTAAATAAGAAAACACTTCTCACCATTTTCAAACGAACCTCCCATGCAGAGGCTTCAATTGGCACGTGAAATTCCAAGTGACCAAGCTGCTTTCCAGAAGCTCGCAGAATGCTAAGGCCAGTGGTCAGTCTTAGAGCCATATCGAATTTGCATATTTAACAATATCATCTTCAATTACATATTTTAGTTTTTAGGTTCTCGGTGATGGGAAGTGAGGACCTGGGATAGGAGAATGATAAAAACAGACGACATCCAGTTGAAAGCGTACTTCGGGCTCTTTCAGGTAATCCCCGAGGGGCTTTTTCCGGTCTCCGTGGCGCGAGGGTTTGGCCCCGCCTCCAGCCCCGCCCAACCCCGCCCACTCAGGAGCTATGGTCCAGACCGGAAGGGGTTCCCGCTGCAATTCTCCAGTCAACCACAGGGAGGCGACAGCGGCTTCAATAGTGAGGAGGACGTACCCAATGGCGGAAGCGGAAAAGGCGGGACCTAGAAAGCACGTTCAGTCAGTCAGTAAGAGTGATCCTGAAGGCTGAGAGGTGGGTACTTCGTACGCGTGTTGGCCGCCCGGCGGCTTGTGAAGTCCCAGCCTCATGGCGGAGATAATTCAGGAACGCATAGAAGATCGAATCCCGGAGTTGGAACAGCTGGAGCGCATCGGACTCTTCAGTCGCGCGGAAATTAAGTGAGAGGGTCAGGGAAGAGGAAGGACTGGGGCGGGCTGAGGGATGCTGGAGGCGTGGGGGGACTTCTCCGAGTTTGTTTTTTCCTAACATGCTAAAATAGGAAAAAGCCCATTGTCGGGATTTGATGACGGTCAGCATTCAGTCTTAACCCATTGCAAGGCGATCTGTCTGTCAGTCTGTCTGACAGTCATTCAGTGGTCAGGGTCTTGGGGCCATAGAGGTGATAGAGCCAGGATTCCAGCCCATCAAGGACCTACTGGGCAATGGGAATGGCGGGAGAATTCAAATAGACTTTAAAAAAATTGGTTGTAGTTTAAAAGCTTGGGGTATACAACCTTAGAGATTCAAGTACAGCGCCATGGAAGTCCAGGCTGGATGGATAGAACTTCCTAACTAAGCTTGTAGATTGGAGACCATTTAACTCGTTTCATAGACTTATTTAGAGCTTTGCCACAGCACCTGGCATATAGCTGACATTCGGTAATTTGTTAGAAATCAATTGCTTTCAATGATTCGCTGTGACAATTCACTTTACAATGACTCCGGATGAATTACAGTAATGTGAGTATAGCCTCGTCCATTCTTAAGTATTACTGAGTATATTCTGTATTCACTTTTCCTAAAACACATGTATAGTCACTCCTTAGCTAAGGATGGGCTGTCTTCTCCCCTAAGTGTTTTGTAGAAAAGCTTTTTAGATATAGTTTAGGTTTTTCAGAATTCACATACTGAAAATATAGACATCAAGATTTTAGCATAGAGATTTGGTTATCATAAAAACCTAAGCATTGAGGGTTGAGGCTGCAGCTAAGAGTTCTTGCTTAGCATGCACAAGGGCCTGGGTTTGATTCTGGGGAATGCAAAAAAAAAAAATTGACAAGCCCCCAAGGCACCTAAATTTGGAGGAGAAATCTATGTTAATAATATATATAAGTAATAAAGTGTTGGCATTATTTACTTTGCTGGTGGAAATGGCAGTGATCCTGGCAACTGAGGTGATTTTTCCCGAAAGTTTAAAGATACATCTGGATGTTCTTAACAGCACAGAGGTAACTGTGTAAGAGAATAAGTGGAAGATACTTGTATTCAGGAACTAGATGTTTTGTTAAATGTGTATTTTCAGTATATCCAGAATAAAAATCTTAAGTTCAAATTTAACTTTTCAAATGTTACAGTTTAATTGGCTTCCTTTGCAGGGCTATCATCAAGAAAGCTTCTGATCTGGAATACAAAATACAGCGGAGGAGCCTTCTCAAGGAAGACTTTATCAATTATGTTCAAGTGAGTGATTCATAGCTTTTTAGTACCTTCAGAAAATTTAACTCAGGGGGCCTTGAGAGAGGTTCAGTGGTTAAGAGCACTGGCTGCTCTTCCAGAGGACCTGGGTTCAATTCCAAGCACTCACATGGCAGCTCACACCTGTCTGTAACTCCACTTCCAGGGACCTGACTCCCTCACACAGAAATACATGCAGGCAAAACACCAATGCACATTACGAACAAACAAACAAAAAAGCTCAAGATTTTAACTCAGACAATGATGAACTTAACAGTAGTTTTCTACAGAATTCCGGGATTCTGTGATTGTGCATACATTTTTATTAGGATCAGAGGTAATTGTGTGGAGTGCATTACCTCCTAAGGCTTAGTCCTTGTCAAGCTGACCTCTCCTCCTGTTGGGTCAGTAGGTCAGAGACATCATTGTGTATCAGGATTTTAGCAAGAAATTTGCCTTTTTAGGAGTGGGCAAGATAGAGGAGTGAGAATCTGACAGTAGCAGATGATGGGAAGTCTGTACAGTGCTTGGCTAGCACTGTCAGCTTGCAAAAGAGGCAAGCTCCAAGATTCTTCCATCTTCCAAATGGACAAGGAGCTGTGGGAAAATTAGACATATGGGATGCATTGTCACGGGAGGGAGAACAGCTACTATGTAAGGACTCGGAATCAGAAAGACAAAAACATTTTTTTTGTATGGGTATATCATGTAGTGTGCAGTGTCTATAGAGGCCCTGGCTGTCCTGGAACTTACTCTGTAGACCAGACTGGCCTGGAACTCACAGAGATCCACCTGCCTCTGTCCCCTGAGTGCCGGGATTAAAGGCACGTATCACCACCACCCAGCAATATCTCATGTTCTTGAGCATTAGGATAAAGCATGTGTCATGGGGCTAGAGAGATGGCTCAGTTGTTAAGAGCACTGACTGCTTATCCAGAGGACACAGGTTTGGTTTCCAGCCACATGGTGACTCACAACTGTCTGTAACTGTAGTCCTGGGGGATCTAATGCCTTTTTCTGGCCTCTGGGGATCCTTAGTGTACATTGTACACAGATCTATTTGAATAAAACACCCATACACGTAAAAACAACAAAACAAATGCATGTGTCACCATGTCTGGTGGGGGCTGTTATTGGAGCTGGGGCAGTAGCTCAGTTGGTAGAGTGCTTGCCTAGTGTGTACAGAACTCTGGGTTCAATCCCTGGCACTGTGTAAGCCTGGATGTGGTGGCTAAAGTTACATGTGTATTCCTAGCACCCTTGTAATCCTAGCACTTGGAGGCAGGAGAATCATATGTTCATTCGTGGTCATTCTTGGTTACATAGTAAGCTCCAAGCCAGCTTGGGCTACATGAAGCACTATCTCAAAATACTAGAAAAGAAAATATAAAAGAAAAAAGCAATTCTGCTTTCACTTCCCAAATTCTGAGATTATAGATGTGCATTACTGTACCTGGAGGTGTGGGGCGCTTGTGCATGTCAGGCTAGTCTTTTTTTATAGATAGAGTCTCACGATGTAGCCCTGGCTGGCTGGCCTGGAAGTCCCTATGTAGACCTATGTAGACCAGGCTTGAACTTACAGAGATCCTCCTGTCTGCTTCTGGAGTGCTGAGATTAGTGGCGAATGCTGCAACACTGACTGGCAAGGGTTGTGTGCCTCGTGACCGACTCTCCTAGCACCTTGAACTCATGACCCTCCTCCAGTCTTAGCCTCTGAGGTATAGACGTGTGTTACAATGTTTGACTTAGATTTTTTTTTTTGTTGTTGTTTAGACTGATAATGGGAACATGCTGTTAAATTTAAGTCAGGAAGTTGGGTTAATTGATATTATAGATCTTACAGGTCTCATGCTTATAAGTAATGTGCTGTCTTTGAATCTTGCCTACAAACCTGTCGTTACTATATATATTTGTAAGTTTTATGGAGGTGAGTTTTTAGTGAATTCTAGAGATTTATAAATTCTATTGATAAATTATCTTTTATTTCATGTTCTTAATTTTTTATTAACATCCTGTATTTAAAAGATTATAGTTTTCACGCTTCTCTTTGTATTTCCTCCCACATAGTATGAAATTAATCTTTTGGAGCTGATCCAGAGAAGAAGAGCAGTAAGTTGATGTTTAATTTTTTTTTTTTTTTTTTTTTGTTTTTTGAGAGAGGGTTTCCCTGTGTAGTTTTGGTGCCTGTCCTGGATCTCGCTCTGTAGACCAGGTTGGCCTCAAACTCACAGAGATCCGCCTGGCTCTGCCTACCGAGTTCTGGGATTAAAGCTGTGCACCATCACCACCTGGTGATGTTTAATTTTTTTTTTTAATTTATTTATTTTTATTTTATGTACATTGGTGTTTTGTCATGGATATTGGGTCCTCTGGAACTGGAATTACAGACAGTTGTGAGCTGCCATGTGCGTACTAGGAATTGAACTCGGGTCCTCTGGAAGAGCAGTCAGTGCTCTTCAGCCCTGATGTTTAATTTTTTTAAGTTGGTTTTTCTGTTGTGGAGGCACTGATTGTTGATAACCTATGCTGTGCCCAAAGTGGATACTTGCAGTTGGCCGTTTTTTGTTTTTTTTTTTTGTCAGTACTGAGTGTGAGTACGTGAGAATGCTATTTTGGATAAATGTGATTAACTGAGGCTTCCTTTTTGTTTTCGTTCCTTTTAGAGAATTAAATATTCATTTAAGAAGGATGAGATTGAATATTCTATTGTACATCGGGTACAGGGTGTCTTCGGTCGTGCTTCAGCAAAGTGGAAAGTAAGTGATGATTGCATATTTGAAGAGACGTGAAGATACACAGTATGCGTATTATGAGTTAGATGTTTGGCTACTCAAATGCCATGTTCTCTCTGTTCCTCTCTAGTTCTCAATATTTATTTGCATGATGGTGCCATTGCTTGAAACAGGTTTTGAGCCACATAAACCATTAAGAGAGTTCATCTTATCATTTTGTTGTTATTCTGTGAGGATGACACTGAACACTATATTTAATACATTATTAGGGATTAGAAAATCAAAAGGGTCAGGTGGTGGTGGTGGTGGTGGTGGTGGTGGTGGTGGTGGTGGTGGTGATGGTGGTGATGATGATGATGATGATGATGATGATGCACGCCTTTAATCCCAGCACTCGGCAGGTGGATCTCTGAGTTTGAGGCCAGCCTGGTCTACAGAGTGAGTTCCAGGACGGCTGAGAAACCTTTTCTTAAAAAAAAAAAAAAAAAGAAAGAAAGAAAGAAAGAAAGAAAGAAAGAAAGAAAGAAAGAAAGAAAGAAAGGACAATCAAAAGAGAGCTGGGCATGGTGGTGCACACTTTTGGGTGTTTTGGGTTTTTTGCTTTTTGTTTTTCGAGACAGGATTTCTCTGTGTAGTTTTTTTTGCCTATCCTGGAACTCGCTCTATAGCCCAGGCTGGCCTCAAACTCACAGAGATCCACCTGGCTCTGCCTCCCAAGTGCTGGGATTAAAGGTGTGTACCACCACCGCCTGGCTAGGGTATTGTATTTGTGAAAAAGAAGGTCTGTCTAGCTTGGGATACATGAAACACTATCAGAGAGAAGACAGTAAAGAAAATCACCAGGGAGATGGATGATGGCTTGGAGATGGGTGGTACCTCAATGAAGTTGATTTTCAGATTTTGATGTGTATATATATCTACAATACATCATATGTGCATCACACACACACACACACACACACACACACACACACACACACACGCGAGTATGTATGAGAATGTAAAGTTTGTGTTTCTTTACATGGTTTGAGAAGTTTTAGAATTTTACTGGACAAATTAGATAAGTGTAGATTTTGTCTTGGAACATGGTAGGTAGGTAGGAGTGGAGAGTTAGATTGAATTCTCATGTTTAAGAGGTCCAAGGCTTCAGTGAGGAAGACGCTCATAGATGAAGAACGTGTGGCACATTGGATCTTTTGAAATTCGCCTCTTTCCCCTAATTGAACTAATACAATGTAAAGATCAAATTCAAGTTTCTTATCCTGTGCTTTTCTTGCAGGATGATGTTCAGCTTTGGCTATCCTATATAGTTTTTTGTAAGAAATGGGTAAGTAAAGCCACGTGTAGCTGCTTCTTCCCTTTCTACAATTTGCCTCTTAAGCTTCATTCAGGAGGTTTAAGCTTAACAGTTGGAGAAAGAACCCAGGGAAACAGGAGCTGAGCCTCAGTCTCACAGTTGTGTATCTGACCGTGTAAATGATTCTAAGTCAGTTGAAAAGAAAATCATTTTTATACATATTTGTTCAGTTAAGAAAAAAAATTAGAGCCAGGCGGTGGTAGTGCACACCTTTAATCCTAGCACTCAGGAGGCAGAGGCAAGTGAATCTCTGAGTTTGAGGCCAGCCTGGTCTACAAAGTTAGTTCCAGGAAAGCCAGAGCTGCTACACAGAGAAACCCTGTCTCGAAAACCAAAAAACCAAATCAAAACAAAACAAAAATTAGTGCTAGAAAGTTGTGTTTAGTGGTTCAGGTATAAAAAGCATGAGTGTGTTTTTATTTGTTATGTCTCAAGCAGTAGCAAATCTTTTCCATTGAGTGTGTGCATGCGTGTTATGTAGCCCTAGCTGGCCCGGCTGATTTTCAACTCACAGTGATCCATCTGCCTCTGCTTCCCGGGCTCTGAGTTTAAGGTGTGAGCCACCATACCTGGCCTTACATTGGATTTATAGTTAGTAAGATATATATATTGCTAACAGATGAGTAGCAGTGATTTCTCTGTGCAGGAAGTAGAGTGTTTTCTTCTCTTTTACAGGGTACCAAAGCTCAGCTTAGCAAGATATTCTCTGCCATGCTTGCCATTCACTCAAACAAACCAGGTATATCAAAATCTTCAACAGTTCTTTTTCTACATTTTATTCAAACTCAGGCTATTTTGGAATTTACTGTGTTTGATGAACCTGGGAAATTGTTGGTCGGGCTTGAGCTTAGACAGTTGCTGCGTCTTAGTTTATCCCGCTTGCTTTGTCTGTCTTGTTGCCGGGCCAGCTGTTGCAGTTGTGGACAGGAGGATGGTGTATCTTTTTAGCTGATAGTTCCGTGGGACACATTTTATTTGGAGGCAGTAGATTCTGAGCAATTCGAAAAGTTAGAAGGACAAAAAATTAACATAGATTTATAAGGTTGGCTGGCACAAAGTGTGTACTCATTCCCCCCCTCCCCCAAGACAAGGTTTCTTTTTGTAGCCCTAGCTGTCCTGGAACTCACTCTGTAGACCAGGCTGGCCTTGAACTCACAGAGATCCACCTGCCTCTGCCTCCTGTGCTGGGTTTAAAGGCGTGTGCCACCACTGCCTAGCCTGTACTAGGGTTTTATAAGAGAAACATTCTCGTGTGAGTGGTGAGTAAGGGGCATCCTCTTGTCTAGCAGAGGTGCTCTAGTAATTGTTCTCACGGTATTAGGTTCAACCAAAGATTTATATGACACAAGACTCAAGTGATCTTAGCAATTTGCAGGACTAAAAGTCAGTGTGATTCCTAAGTTGAGGTTTCTGGAGGGACTACATGAGTGGGAAGGGGAACTACTTTGGTAACCTGTGGGTGCAGGAGGTTCTGGAAAGATCCATGCCCAATTTTAGGAGTCACATGCTCAAGAGTGCTAAAAGCAATGGCTTGCCACCATTTGTGACTCCAAGGAAGTCCAGATGTGATTACCAACCAGGGGTCACTTTTACTAAAAGCAGTCTTGCTTTTTGCAGAGTTGGTGGCCAAACCCAGGGACTTTGTGCATTATAGGCAATGTTCTCTTGCCGAGCTGTTCCCCAGCCCTCTATCTAATTAAAACTTTTAGGAGGCAGAGCCAGGTGGATCTCTGTGAGTTCGAGGCCAGCCTGGTCTACAAGAGCGAGATCCAGTATAGGCACCAAAACTACACAGAGAAACCCTGTCTCGAAAAACCAAAAAAAAAAAAAAAAGTACATCATTTCTTTATTTCGTGTATGTGTGAGCCATATGTGTATGTGTGTGGGCATGTATATGCCTTGGCACATTATGTAAAGTTTAGGGGAAAATTTGTGGGAACTAGTTCTTTTCCTCCACTATGTGGGTCCTGGAGATCCAACTCAGGTCATTAGATTGATGACAAGCACCTTTGCTGATGAACTAGCTTGCCAGCCCTTTCTCTAGCTTTAGATAGAGTCGCTAAATTTAGTATTAGAAACTCCCTTTTCCTTTGGTAAGATTAATAACTCATTAAGTATTAAAAGTAAAGGATTGATTAATTTACAGAAATGAAGTCTGATTTTTCTTTCTTTCTATAGCTTTGTGGATTATGGCAGCCAAGTGGGAAATGGAAGATCGCTTGTCTTCAGAAAGCGCCAGACAGTTATTTCTTCGGGCTCTACGATTTCATCCTGAGTGTCCAAAACTCTATCAAGAAGTGAGTATTTGGGCACATAGGATAAGAGAGCGATATCTCTGTGATACTTAGAATGAGAGAGATATCTCTATGACACAGAATGAGAGAGACATCTCTGTGACACTTAGAATGAGAGAGACATCTCTATGACACTTAGAGAGGGAGATATCTGTGACACTTAGAATGAGAGACATCTCTGTGATACATAGAGAGCAAATACTGCTTAAAATGTAATTATTTCTCCTCTGCTTCTGTTTCCTTTTTTTTTTTCTTCATGGTAATTGTGTTTTGTGAAAATCTTGTTGCTACTTTAAAAAAAATAATTTACTTTTATTTTATAGGTATTGGTGTTCTGCCTGCATGTATGTCTGTGTAAGAGAGATCTTGGAATTACAGACAGTTGTTAGCTGCCATGTGGGTGCTGGGAATTGAACCCGGGTCCTCTGGCAGAACAGCATGTGCTCTTAACCACTGAGCCTTCTCTGCAGCATGAGCCCCTGCACCCTGCAGTTACTTTTTTATTATCCTGACAAAATACCATGACCAAAGGAATTTATAAAAGAAAACATTTAGTTTAGGGATTCATGGTTCCAGAGGGTTAAAGTCCATGACCATCATTTCAGGGAGCATGGCAACAGGCAGGCATGCATGGTGCTGGAGCAGTATCTGAGAGTTTACATCTGATCTACAAGTGTGGTGCAGAGAGAGAGCTAGTTGGATGTATGCTTTAGAAACCTCAAAGCCCACCCACCTGTGGGGCGTTTACCCACCAACCCCACAGCTCCCCAGAGTTTTCTTGAGTGTGAGCAGCAGGACATTTAGATGGAAGGATTTATTGCGGAGAATCTTGCGGAGATAAACAGATAGAAAATAAAGGATAGCCTCGAGAGGGCCTGGAACCTATTCCAATGGGTCCCCACTGTTTCTGCCCCAGGATATTTATAGAGATGCCAAGACACCTGCACTCAGGCCCGTGGTCCTAATCATCCTCTATGCGGACCTGCTGGGTAAAGTTATGAGGAACCCGAAAACGGGCCCCCACAGGGCCCCCTTTCTTAATATATAAAAAAATAACTCATTATTAATGGCTTACAGCAATCTCCATAGCTGTTACACCTCCCAGTATGGGAGTAGAGGATGATAAAGATGGCATTTCTCTTTTGAATTAGTTCCAAGGTGACTACAGCAGTCTTAGCTGCCTCAAGCCCTTTCTAAACCAAAAACTTTTTTTTTTTAAAAGATTTATTTATTTATGATGTTTACAGTATTCTATTTGCATGTATTCCTGCATGTCAGGAGAGGGCACCAGATCTCATTACAGATGGTTGTGAGTCACCATGTGGTTGCTGGGAATTGAACTCAGGACCTCTGGAAGAACAGTCAGTGCTCTTAACTTCTGAGCCATCTCTCCAGCTCCTAAACCAAAAACTCTTAAGGCAACTACAAACTTAAAGAATCTCTTAGCTTCATCATTACCATTAACAGGTTAACATAAATATTGCTATACATAGTCACAATTCTCCCAATCTTACAACACAAAGCAAACTCTTAACAGAACCATTTGAATTAGCATATATGGTGCTATATATAGTTAACAATTTTCTCCATCTTACAACTTTAACTCTTTTTTTTCCCAAGTTACATACACACACGTACAGTTAAAGCTTGCTTACATTTACACATAGAGTTAAATCCAAGTCACATACATGTCCACATACACACACACATATATATCTCCATTTTTTTCCCCTTTTATTTTATTTTACACTACCATTCAGTTCTACTTATCAGCCACAGGTTCCCCTGTTCTCCCCCCCTCCCACCCCTTCCCCTTACCCCCAGCCCACTTCCCATTCCCACCTCCTCCAGGGCAAAGCCTCCCCTGAGGACTGCGATCAACCTGGTAGACTCAGTCCAGCAACTTTAACTCTTAATCATTTGAATTTTCTTGCTAACAGAACATAGGAAAAACTTCTATGTATTCACGTCAAACTTAAATATTTCCTTAACTCCACAAAACCAGGGTGCATTAATATCAATAGGTTAAACATAATTTCTGCAAACATAATTCAACTTCATAACTACTCCTTTTCTTTATAATTTTTTAAACAAGGTCCCAAGGCTAGTTAGAAAACCTAAACTTTTCTGTTTAAACAGTTCCATTTGTAACACAAAATCAGTTCCATAAGTAATTCCATTTTACATAAACAGTTCCATAAAACAATTCATGAATCACCAGTTAATAAAGAATATGTCCATACACAAAATTGCATCTTTAGTCTAGGTAGAAACAATAAATTTCTTCATTTAAACAGTTCCATTTTAAACCCAATTCCAGAAAACAGTTTCTAGGTCATTACTATAAGTAAACTCAAAATTGTCCCATTGCAATGAAATCTATTGTTCAGTTCATTAAGTCCTCAAATTCAAATGATAAATTCTGGTACTAGCCTTCCAAATATGAAGAAATCCATAACCAAAATCTTTTTGTAGTTTTATCTCATTTTAAGTTCAAAAAGTTCAAACAAGTAAATTCTGGTATCAGGCTTTCACTTCCAAATATGAAAAGACATTTTACAACCAAAACTTTTTTCAGTTAACAATTTTTGTTCAAACAAGCGTCTCTGAACTTTTATTCTCAAGCCAGAGACCTTTTTAGGTACAGTAGTATTCTAAATTGCACCGTTTTTGATGTTAGCTCAGGTTTTTCTGTGTTGCGTCGATTTTCTATGGATCTCAGCTGCGTATGCCTTGTGCTGGTTCTGGTGTCCGCCATTCTTAGCAGCTTCTGGAGCTTTTTAAACCATTCAGACTGCCACTTGGGATAATGCTCAGCCATTGCATTACTCCTCAGTAAAGGACCAGGAAGATTGAAGTGAGCTCTAATATGGCCCACAAAGATGGCAGATTTCTTTTGTGGAATAGTGTCTTGAATTTATTGAAACATTTTGACTTGATTGTTGTTAGTTCCAATATTTTCACCAAAACTGTTACTATTCAAAGGAGTCAAGAACATAGATGTTCTTTCATGAAACAGATCCTTCATTATCTTACTTTGAGAAAAAGCATTTTCAGGATTTAGTATTTTCACTTCATTAGCTTTAAACTCCTGATGTTATTAAGCAGCTATAATATTTAGCACTGATTTTTTTATAAGGAACTTTCAGGTGAAGCAACTCTTTTGTAAGACAGCTTGATTTTCTGAAGTTTGTTTCCCTTCATATAGAAATGACTATAAAGCAGTCATTT